TATATATACACACACACACACACACACACACACACACACACACATATATATATATAAAACAGTCTCCTGTTCTTCCCATTCCTAATCCACAGCTCAGAATAGAGAATGAGTTTATGTTTCAAAACCTCCCCAATCATGCATCATTACTGGGTGGTTTCCTCTTATCTCTCTGAAACACTGTGAAAAACAAAGAGAATGGTGCTTGTTCGGCATGATAAAACTTTATCTCTGGGAACAGACAAGGCCTACCCTTGGGGTTACTGGTCAGTAAATAAAAAGAGTGAAAACAGTGCTCATTAAATGTGTGTGGAGGGGAACATTGAGGAAGAGAGTGCTCTACTCTCCCAAACAAGAAAACAATAAAAAAGAAAGGAGATGAAATGAGAGGGGATGGGCCTGCTCTTGTTCTCTCATTTGTCTGCTTTGCCAGACACTCCTCCATTTCCTGCTCCCAGCATATAGAATCACATGTGAGCACACACAGTTTATCTCCAAGAAGATGGCCTCTGTGTGTTTGAAACAATCTGAGGCCCTGGGAATGAGGAAATGTGTATGCCAGTGGGGAAAAAGTGACTGGGGATGACAGAGAGGTGCTCCCTGCTCATAAGCCTTTCTCAAAACAAACCCAAATCCCCTTTCCTGAATGTGGAGCACTTAAGGCCTGTGCATGTGTTGATATCTTAGATGGATTTGGTTCTTTAAATAAAAAATTTAATATATATTTTTATTGTTTATAGTATTAGAAATGTCTCCCATTTACCCCCCTTTACTCCACCTTCCCAGTCCCTATCCCCTCTCAGCTCCTCACCACACTACTGCTTGTGTCCATGGGCTATGCATATGTATACTAATAAAAGCCTAGGTGGCCCTTGCACTCTCGTGCAATGCCCTCACATCATCACAAGATGGCCACCCCCACATCATCACAAATGGCCTCCACAAGATGGCCAGCAGAGGAGGGCAGTTGTGGGTGATCAGAGCAGCAGGGAAGGGCAGTTGGGGGCGATTGGGCCAGCAGGGGAGGGCAGTTAGGGTGACCAGGCTGGCAGGGGAGCAGTTAGGGGGTGACCAGGCTGGGAGGCAGAGGTAGTTAGGGGCAATCAGGCAAGCAGGCAGGTGAGTGGTTAGGAGCCAGCAGTCCCGGATTGTGAGAGGGCTGTCCAACTGCTGGACATCCCCCGAGGGGTCCCAGATTGGAGAGGGTGCAGGCCGGGCTGAGGGACACCCTTCCAAACACGAATTCCATGCACTGGCCCTCTAGTAAGTATATAAGTTCTTCTGTTTATCTCTTCTTGTTCCCCAACCCCACATCAAGATATGTCAGTCTGTTCCATGTCTCCATACTTCAAGTCTTATTTTACTGGTCAATTCATTTTGATCATTAGATTCCACAAATAAGTGAAATCATGGGATATTTGTCCTCAGGTTGCCTTATTTCACTTAGCATAATATTTTCCAGGACCATCCATGGTGTCCCAAGGGGTAAGAGGTCTCTCTTTTTACAGCTGCATAGTATTCCATTGTGTAAATGTCACACAGCATTTTTATCCATTTATCTACTAATGGGAACTTGGGCTATTCCCAGATCTTAGCTATTGTAAACAACACTGCTATGAAGATAGGGGTGCATATATTATTTCTGATTGGTGTTTCGGTTTGGGGTTTTTTTTAGGATATATTCCCAGAAGCAGGTCAAACAGAACTGTCATTTTTAATTTTTTGAGGAAATTCCATACTGTTTTTCACAGTGGTTGTACCAATCTTCATTCCCACCAGCAATGAACTAGTGTTCTCCCTGACCCCATCCTCACCAGCACATTTGTTGATTTTTTTCATGATAGCTATTCTGACAGGTATGAGGTGATATCCCATTGTGGTTTTAATTTGCATTTTTCTGATGATTAGGAACTTAAAATCTTTTTTCATATGTCTCTTGGCCATTTGCATGACCTTCTTGGAGA